TTGAATGATTGGCGCATTAAAAGTTGAATTAAGATAAATCGTCTCGAAAAGATGACTTATTTCTGTTTTATCGTTTCTAATCGTCTCATTGGTTAATTCAGTTTTATTTTGTTCGGTCTGTTCGGGGCCTGATCAATTGTGGATTGATCATGCATTAGTCACATTGTTCACCTATAGTGAGAGAAGTTCTCCATGGTTTACCATGAAAAGGCAGAAAAAATTGTCTCAACTTCGAATATATTACGAGAGAATCGCGAAATATTTTATCACGTGCTTCCAAGTTTTACAGAGAATATATTAACCATTGTTGAGATAACCGTCTATTGACAGTATAGATGTCAGTACTACACAGCGAGACTCACGATTTTCTACAACAACGGTAAATATACCCCCTACCAAACTTCCAAACACGCGGAGTTAGAAAAATGCAGTGATCCTTTTTGTCATATATTTAAAGTTGAGAAGGATTTTTTCGATGTTTTGTGATAAAACGTTAAAAGAATATTAGGATTAAAGATTAGATGTAAAGTGTGGATAACGCCAAAGGAATTCAAAGTGAATCTGCAAGCTGAAAGATTATAAATTTTCTCGAACATAGATGTGTCTGTCTGTTGAACATTGCAAGAAACACCAAAGAAGATTATCGTTCAATTAATTTATATGGTTAATCAATGATTTCACCCATAGCGATTTTAACAAAGTGTGTTGATACAATAAGTCCTCGTGACAGTACGACTTGCCACCGAATCGTGTCTCAATGTCAAAATCACTCAGGCCTAAATATAGAAACATATTTCGCTTGCAGTTTTCATCAAAATTGCACACAGTATACTCTGCAGGTGTCACATGTGTCAGCACAGTCTCATACTGTAACATACATCATAAAATGTGACTGAACTTCATGATTCATGTTGTATCGTTTTTCAATTTACAACACAGTAACACATGAAGTTCCCTGACGGTTTTACATGTTATATATGGGCGAGTGTGGGTGAAGGTGTCTTTACTCTTGATCCACACTCATCCAATTTGTAGGTACACCCTGACTTTTCAAACTCATTTGGTCAATGTAATGATTAAAAACAAAAATTAAATACTGTTCAACGTGACGAATCATTGGGACCACAAGACTTTTAGAAAGAACAAAAATCTCAACATAATTACTAGATAAAAAAAATCTAGAGAACTTCTAAAATACACCTGACAAATGCACTAAGAATATCTGATTAGTCACAGTACTGTATGTCGGTCATCATTTGTAGGAAGCTTTAGTAGGCAATCAAAAAAATCTATTCTATTGATGCTCTAATTCGATTGACTAAGCGTCAATACAACGGCGACGACTTCTATTTGAAAGACAAATATAGAAAACAAAATCATACGCCCATTCAATCAAGTAAATCATGTCTATCAGTGATATGTCTAATAGTTCGACCTACAAGCGAGTGATATTGAAAATAAAAGTATTTGAAAAATCAATAGAAGAGAAAAAGCCATTATTCATTGTTTATATAATCAGACAGCGCTTGTTTCTATTGCTTCAATCGATTCATCTTTCAAATTTGATAAAAAATCAAAAGAAAAACTTGAAACATAAACATCAAGATAAACTTCAAATAGAAATGAAAGAAATAAAACTTTGCTTTTCTCAAGAAGCAGTCTTTTTTGAAAAGTCATTTATCAAAAAATTCGTTTGCCATCTAGAAAAAACCTGTTGATGGCATCAACCAAACAGAATTATTTTCATCTAATTTGATGTTTCTTCTACATCTTTCTAGATTAATAGCACATATTAGTTATATGTTCATCTGAGTAATGTATGACGATGACCACTCAAGTTAAGACTGGATCTTATTCCTTCTCGTCATGAATTTATCTGAAGTACATGCGTACCTATATAATATTACAATACAGCAGTACTTTTTAAACGAGAGTCGGCATTTTTACGATCTTTGCCGTTATTCATTGTGCCAAAATAACCCTTAGAACAAGAGTTATTAAAAAAAAGTGATTTGAAAAATGTTTGGTAAAATATCAATAGAAAATGCTTTCATTCTCCATTGACACTATCAAACTTCAGAAAACTAGAAAATATTAGAAGTTTCATAAACTATACACAGTATACCTATTTCGAATTATATTTACATTCATTATCCACTAATATGTAATACTTTCTTTATTTAAACAATGTTATTTCGATTTCAGGTTAGCGTCGTCTTCTTTTTTCAGTCATTCTATATTCATTGCATCATATTTTCTTTTCGTTTGAGGGTGAGTGGGGGTGCAAATGGGTGTCGGTTTAGTTGAAAAGAAGCCCCTTCCACACCTACACCCAAAAATGAATGTGTGCGAATCTATAAAAGAAACGTGTTCGAATGCTGATTAAATAGCGTTGATCCAGGATAAAAAGCAAATATCTTTTCGTTCTGAACGTTGCCGTTAGAATTCTGTTTTATAGAAATTTTTATGGTTTTGCAAATGCAGGTGAAGTGTTCCAAGACAATCGACATGATACCAACTACGTATCAAAATCGAGTAGGTGAGCTTTATTTCTTTTTGCCATCTCATAGAAACTTCTGACCACTCTATCTTTCTTATCCATATGAGTTTGGACACGATCGAAAAGATGCACTGTAGCTCTCAAAAACTTGACACGAGCATCGCGTGTACTCCAACATTGGTATAACATGTTTCAAACGACTAATAAGCCAGTCAAAAATGAATTTGGGTGTCGATAAACAGAAAAACTTTATCTCCACTCACATCCATTGCATCTCTAACCGAATATCAAAACTAAATCACTTTCACTTTGACATTCAACCATCGTCTCAACACTTGTGAATATTGGCTTATACTATTTGAAACACAATGTAGTTTTCAACGATGTTGAGTAATATTCAATCAAATTCATCGGTCTGACAAATCAGTGTCTATTTCTTTCGCTCAATTTCAACTCCGATGAATTAAACACAGTCTAAAATCAATGAACTGCGTGACTTTTCTCGTTCACATCTGAACAAAGACGAATTTTCGACTGTTTGCGATACTAGTCTTATTGAGAAAGTTCAATGAGACGATAGAAAAAAAAAACAATAATTTATTGACAAACTTTTACGAATTCATTAAAAATCGTTGTTAAGTAGATTAGTTTTGCTAGTGAGACGAAGATATATCTAAAACGCTGTTTTTCGTTGCTTAGAAAGTCACAACAGTTGAACAGAACTCGTATGGAAACAGATAGCTGATACATCAGTTCCTTCCGTGACAGAGATCACCTATTCATTTTTATTAATCAATGAACTGATATAATTCTAGTGTGCTTCAACTATGACTTGATTTCATGCTGTTACCTCACATTACCTAATGTATCCTTCCATCAGCTAAATCATCAGTAAAACCATTTTACTCGCGACATTCTTGTTATATATAAATGCACAAAGTACAAATAAAGTATAGATTTGCTAGTTCTGATAGAAAATAATCATATAGTAAGCTTAGTTGTGATTTTATTACTTCATTGATTTTTAAAATCGATGATATTTTCAATTTGATTTGGCTGTATTGAATAGAGCGAATATTGATATTACCGTAGGGATACTCGAATCCACATTGCATATTTAGGTCTGAAATAAAAATAAAGTGTACCAATAGAAAGAATGAAAATCTGTATGAGAAAGAAATTACCTTAATGTGATGGCAATATCTGGAACATGCTTTTGCCCAGGTACAAGTTCGATATGAAATCGTCGTAAAATCATGGATAACATGATTTTAGCTTCTAACATAGCGAAATGTTGTCCAATACAAGAACGAAAGCCGATTGAAAATGGTAAAAAATTGTCTGCTTGATGTTGATCAAATCGAGATGGATCAAATTTTTCTGGATCTAGCCAATAGTTTTCTGAACTATATTTTTATACAAATAAGATATAAAATCTATCGATCAATGCATATATTTAGTCTTACTGATGAAGCATATACAAATTAACAATAACTTCAGTGCCTTTGCTAATTCGAATATGTTTTCCATCATTTGTTACAAGTGTATTGTCTTTAATTGCAGTACGAGGTAAGAGAGGTATTGATGGATAAAGACGTAATGATTCTTTTAGTACTGCTTCCGTATAATGGAGAAGTGAAATTGTTGACGAATCTATTGCATCTTCATTATTTAAAACTGAATCAATTTCATTTTGACAATGGCGATAAACTTCAGGATGACATGCTAAATTGTACAAAGTCCATGCCATTAAGTTCGATGTAGTCTCATGACCGGCAATGACTTTAAATTGAAAACATGATCAATTCATTATTTTCTACGATTATGAAAATCACATCTTACTGAATGTTAATGCTTCTTCGTAAATTTTTTCAACAGCGGCCTGATTTGTTTGATCATGATCATGTCTTGTCAATAATTGATCGAGTAAATCAGGTCCTAAAGTTTCAGTTAGAGTAGAAAAAAAGGCAAGAAAACAAAACAAGTAAAGGTATAGTGGAAACCTTTTGCAGTCGATCTCGTCAAGCCCTTCTTTCGTTCATCGATGATAGATTCAACAATTGTACGAAGATCTTGCATCGATTTGTCAATACGCAATTTGCTTGGAAATGGTAAACGATTAATTAATGGAAGAATAGCAGTCATATCAAAAAGGCGTTTTTCGATTTCATTCAGTATGACTGTGACATTTCGATACATTTTTTCATGTATATCTTTATCTTTTGAAATATTTTTTCCAAATACACAACCAGATATCATACTCAATGTTAAAAGTGACATCTCTTCACGAACATCAATGGTGGTCATCCTGTTTTCATTTTTATTGATACATTGTGCCCATTTATTGAGAACATTTGATGTTATTTCGATCATCATTGGAATCATTGAATTGAGATTTTGATGTTGAAATACAGGACTTAGCAATCGGCGACACTGAGCATGTACAACATTCTCACTTATTAGAAGGTTATCAGTACCGATCAATGTCCCAATAATTGATTGCATAAAAATTGACTTTCGGTAACAATGAGCATTAGTTTTTAATACTCCAACAATCAATGATGGATCACTGATATTGAAACCTGGAATCGGACCTAGTGACATACGATAATAGTCGCCAAATTCTTTGCTAGCGTCAATTGAATACGATAATGGTTTTTCTGCACGAATGGCTTGTCGAATACGAAGAATATCACCTACAATCGGTGTATGTCTTCCACGAACACCTTGCAATGATAAAGCTCTGTGTACATGCCATGGCTTAATTATCCAAAATTGAATTAAATCATAGATAAAATAGACGCATAGACCAACAAGTATAAGAATCAGCCACATAATTCTACAGTAAAAAGAAAAGCGAACATAACAACTCAACTCGAGCTTTATCAAAGCAAAATGATAAGAATAAACTCGACATGATATTCGTCAACATGCTGACACAACAAAAAAAAGATAAAAGTTTGATAATGACAAAGTATAAGACAATGAATCTTGACACTTTTGAGACTTAATTGTTCAAGTTAGACCATATGTAAAATTAGCAGAAAACATATTTTTGATATTATACTATACTAAAAAGAATATTTAAAATTCTCAATATAGTATCTTTCGTACTACTTCTTTCAATTCTTGAATCAACAGTTTTTTCTGAGTTTGAAATCGCTTTAACAAAAAACAAAACAAAAATTGCTATCTAAAACTATTCAAACCTAGGTCACTATTCGTCCTATTTATAGTCATTCTTGTTAAAATATGAGAAACTATGCGAACGATCGTATTTTATCATTTCCATGCGACTCGATGTTGAGAATGAATAATCAAAATGCTAAATACTATAGCTGATGATCATTGACACAATAATTAGTCTACGTTTGAGCCATCTTGATAAGAGATTTCTATTCAGTTTTGATGAGAATAAATCGAAATTCATATACATTCTCATCCAGTCGGATATACTCTATTTAATCCAATTAATCGTTTCATGCATACATTTATTTAATCAACGATGAACACCTGTAAGGTAATAGGGTGTGAGTATGGGCATGAATGTCGGTATGAGTGTTGATATACGTGAAAAGAAGATTATCATCGACACTGAGCAATGAAGAAAAACTGGTGCAACCAAACCAAAGTCTGAGATAGATGTTATTACTACAGAAAAATCAAGTCAAGGAAAAATCTTCGACGTTACTCAATTCTAGTAATAATTAATAGTATCGAAATGCGTACTATCTTTATCGAAGCAAGTCGTGAAAAGTCATTTATTATACTAAAATAAAGTGCTGCAAGGGTTTTTGTAATAAATATTCAGTTGATACGAAATAGATGCAATACTAAAACAAAAAACTGTTGTCGTCAATCACTGTGGAAGTAATGTTTAAAACACGGTACAGATACTTGTGTTTTTAGGTATAAAAATGATTTTATTTGATAATTTCTATTAATGTTGTGTCGCTATGGTATGGATTGTGTTCTTGAACTATTATATTCTTAGTATTTGATAAAAACAGTTTTATATAATGAACTCAATCGAGTTCAATATACGGATTTTAGTTGACTTGAATTACTTGGCTATATCTATAACGGTACGTTGGGAGTAAAATATATGCCTTTGTAGTTCAAAATTAGTTTTAGATCGTGTTTCACAAAAGCAGGAAATAGAGGGCTTTCGATCAGAAGTAGGACCAACTAACTACCAACCTGCTTGTTTTATCATAGTTAAAAAAAAGATGCAATGAAAAAAATATCTTGCTTCATCCTGGATATACATATTTGACTTTGCCGAGTGGACATCTTATATACCTGCATCGTTGTCCTGGTACATGTTTTCTCCTTTCTTGTATCCTCTATTATCACCAACATTCGGAAACAAGATAATTTAACCACATATGAGGATAGTTATGTGTACGAGAAAAACTTACATGTATATCTTAATAGAAAAGGAAAATGAAGGGGAGAAGAACAATATAATATAGAAAATATCAGTCGACAGAAGAATGCCATGAAAATCAGTGCTGGCTATGATCAATAGCTTAAATATGTGCGATTTTACCTTACAATTTTCATTACTTACATGGATCTATGATATTCAAACAATTAAGTCTACAAAATTAAAAATAGCAGTTTGCTGCTTTTTCATACTATTTCTTCCTTGAGGAAAACAAATACAAATAACTGACTTAGTAAAGAATTTACACGTAGAGCAGAGGCAATCGCTCATGTTGCTATTTATGTTCTCTTAAATTCTTTGCAAAAGTAATTAAGCTTCTCAAGACCAAGTAATCGATCTATATAATTCCGCTCAACTAACACTGTAATATTGTGTCGATCCTAGGCAGGCAAGAATTTCACAAAACGCGTTTAAGTCCCATAAACATTGTTTTCTTAGGGTTTTTTAAGCCCATCCCTGGTAAAATGATCATGAAAACCCCTAAAAAAAGAGGGTATGGATGTAGAGTCTATTTTTACCAATATCTACACACTGGCATGTACACCCAGACAAATGTCCCATACCCTCAACCAGGTCACACAATCACATCCTTTTTCGGATCTGTTTATTGCGCTTCGAATTCAAACCAATTTAGTGATTTTCAGTAAAGGAGACCCGTTCTGAAATGAGTTATACTCCTCTTCTCAGTTATTCTTTTCATAAGAGTCATCCACGTGAACGAAGTCTTGGATGTTGTTGTATGACACACTCTTTCGCTGAAATTTGGATGTCTCTCTCTCTTAAACAAAATTATCACAGCCATTATTTTTTCTATTGACATTAATGGAGAACGAAGAAAAAAAAGCACAAAAAAGTAAGAAAAATGTTGACTTTAGCAACCGACAAACAGAAGGACAAAATACAACTATTCTTTGCATAGGTAAAATTACGTAGACGTTTGTCGGCAGTGCGTTTGTTCTCATCTGCTTGTGATCACAACAGTTTCATGTAGGTAATATCTTTTCATAATTTCATCAGTCACCAGTTTTTTGGAGCCAACTTGATTGGCATTCACTGTGTAGCAGCTATGTTGATTGAGTCTAACTAATCTTTAAGAAAGTGGGATAGCGAGAATTTATGATGAGGGCTCAGAATCAGTTTGCTTCAGCATTTTTGAGCCTGTTAAGTTTAGCTAAAAAGACTCACATCTCAAGCCGAATCTACACACCGCACCTCATATCAGACATCCTACTAACATTCTCAGATAAAACTCAATAACCAACCTGAAAGGGAATATCCTAGTCACACCCCACATAGTAGCCTGTCGTATTATCCGTAGCGTTCTCAATACACTCACTTACGCACTCTGTGCGAACACCTGTGATGTAGAACATATCAAGATCGCCATCCTCTCTTTGCAACAAACGTTTCAGTCGCATCCACATCTTCATCCATTAACTCAAGATTCCAGAACTATGAATTCAAAATTTCTGGATGAAACATTTTTAGCTTAGACCGATTTTAATTTCTAATGACTAGCAAATTTTTCGAGATCATCAATCATTAATACATTCCACATTGTCGGACGTCTGCAACTTACGAGTTCATATCTCTGGATAGCTACATTCATAAAAGTCGATATAAAATGAGCAAAATTGGCTAGCTTCAGTGTCCCGAATATTGAGAAAACATTGACGAAAAACCTGTCATTTGTAAAGCTTCAAATAAGTCATACCAGTAATCGACAAATCGATCGATTGGGTACTAATTTGCCGATTAGGTTTCGCACGTGCGTTAGAGATACTCAGTAATACGAATGGATCGTATGCATGAGCACATACTGCCGATCTTACAACGAGCATCTCAGACATATACTTCATTTTTACCACCGCCGTTAATTATTGCTGCCAGTTGTCCCTAGCTATGCGCTCATCATGATACTTCGCACAACATTTAATAATGAACATTACGTAAAGATATATGATATTTGTGCTGACTCAATAAATTTTCTCAAGTCGTACAAACCTTTTTTTTTCGGTTAAAGCTACAGACAAGATGATCTCTCTCTGTGTATAAAGGAGAAAAGAATTGAATTGAATTGACTGTATTGCACTTGTCCCTTAAGTTATTAATTAACTCTTATGGGTGACTTCTCTGATTTTGTAACATCATTTTATGGATGAAATCCGTTATATTTCAACAAACTGTGACTTTCAGACAATCGACTACGTAGATAGTGATATTCATAAGGACTTGGTTGTAGTTGTCAACTTCCTCTAACGAACACCTATATGAATCGAATTTTACAGCAGCTTGCAGCAAATTGTATGTTGCATTAAAAAAGGTATTTTAGTTTAGTCTTGATAATTTTACAATCCAAATACACATTGATAAGCAGTAGAGTAGTCATTGCATGTGTGACCATAGTATATTTTTAAATTATTTTACTTCAAGCATTTCCCAGTATACATTGCTCTTGAATCTCACACATTTGATTTTTCTTCAGATTGTTTTCTTCATAACCAAAATTGACTATCCTTAGCATTTCTTTTTCATTATTTTGATTGTGTGATGCATTAAGGTACAGAATATTGTGCCTTACGGCATAGGTAAAACAATACGTTATCTTCTTCGAAATTGTATTTCACCCAATCTTTGAGTTAGTCTATGTTAGTTGTTTGTAAAATGGAATGAATTATAGCCAATGTACTGCATCATTGCAAACAAACGTCTATTTCTATGGTTACCAGCACGTTTCTAACAAAAACGAACTAGTATATCATTCTCTACTAATTCACATGGATTACTCTTTAGGAAACAGTAAAGAAAACATATACAAGACTTATCGAGGTAGGTATATGAATGAAACAATAGAACTGTCTCCGTTTTATGTCTTACTACTTTCGAATTTCAGTTTCTTAGTTATCAGGTATAAGTAGGCTGTAATCCTTTTGTGAAACATGATTGTTTATTATTAGTGAAGTTTATAGTGACACAGGTGTGCTCCCTTCTTCCCACCCCATCCTCCTATCAGCCTATATAATACATCTGGTGAACTTTATACATTATAGTTAAAACATTACTATCTTTTCTTAAGATTTGACTGCTATAGGAGTTGAGCAGATCATGCCTATCGAACTTTCGTGAATTTCGCCATGGCCTATTCTGCCTTTGTAGTTCAGCTTCTGCAATGTGGAAAGGAAACCAATTTTGTAGCTATCGAAACGTCGTATCCTATCTGCAGGAATAGAACTATGTTAGTTGATGATCATCGGTATAGATTGACTGAAACATTTTGATATATCTTAGTGACGCACTATGAAGGGTGTAATGAGCAAAATTTCACTATTCATTTTCTTATTTGAGATATACACGAAACTATAAGTCTCCGTCAACTGTCACTTAT